CAGGTCTGCACAATGTTAAAGAGCATCCACATAGCAATTTTTATTGAAATGTGATTAGAACTTGAGATATCAGTAGAAAGTCTAAAAATTATGAATTATTATGCAAATTGGTGTAATTAATATGCAAAGATTTTTACCAGAAAATTAATCAGGTATGTAAATTTCATTGAAATCTGATTGAGATAATGGTGTAACAGACATACATACAGGCAGACTGGCTAACCACAATGACTTCCATTGAGCACTCCCCACACAGGAGCCAAAAGTACTGTCTACAAAACAGTTCAGTGGGGAAGCAACTGAACAATTTCTAACTTTCAACTATAGAGGGTGCTGTTCACAGCCCATCCCAATTTCCCATATTAAGGTCGTTTGGAGGCATTCATTGTAATATTTATCCAAAATTTTTGCTTTTATTTTTTTTTTTAGTTCAAGATGATTTTTTGGAGAGAAGCTGTCTGAACAATTGCAATCATTTTTGAATAATTTCCATAGCAATCCATTGTAAGTTTTTTTATTAAAAATTATATTACATTTGTATATTCATCAAAAAGTACACAAGACAAAAATAAGTACACGTCTGATAATAAAGACGATTTTTCAGCATATGTAAGCCAACAAAATTTTACAATATGATGTTCCCTTTTTAAATGTGTGAATGACCTCCTGTTTGTATGATAATGGTCTTATGGTACAGTAATTGTCTTGACAGTACAACCAGTACAGTAAAGCCATGCACACCGTGGGAGACACAGGAAACCAGCTGGGTGGTAATGAGCCGTTCTCTTACGAACCAATGGTAAATGGCTAAAAAGCCACCATTTTCATTAGTATTAGGCTGTGTTTTGCACAAAAAGTTATATTTTTTTATCAACAAAAAAATAAATCCATGTTGTAAAAGTCAAGGAAATATGGTGAAAATATTCTACCGACAATCGGTTTATCTGGACGGAAAAAGTATTCCAATCCAATCTAAAACCTGTAGAGGAACACGTACAACAACTCAGCATCTACCTAAGTGTCTGCTTTACTTTAAAACAGTCCCCATGGCTGGCATAATTTGACAGTGTTTATTTTTATTTTGATACAGTAATCCTTTTAAAAAATCTCCAAATCCCAAACATGACAAGCCAAATGCACCATGATTGCCTTCGCCAAGGATCATGTAACAGATAAAATAACCAAAACATTGAAGATTTCCAGATTTGTACAACATAAGGGAACACTGACAGCGACCGCTTTATGCTGTCAGCTAAGTTTATGTGAATACTCAATAGAGCAAGTCTGGTGAGACAATGATAGCAATGTGTTTTAGTTTCATAAGAAGTTTACCGATAAGAATTACATATCACATGAATAAATTCCAGGATTAGACCAAACTCCAAATTCTGCATACCACACTCTATAATCACTAATTAATAATGTAGTACAATGGTTTTTGGAACATGATCAAAAAAATATTAAAGGAACTGGGAAGAATTTTCAATTTTTTATACAGTGTTTTATCAGGAATGCAGTAACGAATAATTTTAAGAAGTACAAGTTTTCTAGTTCTATTATATAATCTTTTCTGTTCCCAATCTGCAAAGTCAAAAAAATTGGTGCTTATGGATTGCATGCATTCATGTGGTTGTGCGACTGAGCGTCCATCCATATCAGCCGTATCTCATGTATGCTTAGACCAATTAAGTTCAAACTTCACACA